AAAACCAGTCTCAGGTACCCATAAAGGTAAGATCTGTTTCTTGACCTTTGACTATTTGATTGCTTTGTTTACGTCTTAATCATTTTTGTGTTCAGTTGTTAAAATCAGCAAGTACTTAAATAGGAGAAGGGAACTGCAAAGTTCGAATTCCTGAAGACAGATTCCATGCCTTAGCATGCATCCTGTTGGATTCTCAAATGTTGAATTACCTCAATATCTCTTGACAATGAGTGTGCTCCAGTGGGTAAAGTAAGTAAGCTATAGAAATTACTTAATCCTTTCTACGAAGATGGCGCCAAAAGCGAAGAAGGAAGCCCCTGCCTCTCCCAAAACTGAAGCCAAAGCAAAGGCATTAAAGGCCAAGAAGGAAGTCCTGAAGGGCATCCACAGTCACAAAAAAAAGAAGATCCGCACGTCACTCACCTTCCGGCAGCCTAAGACGCTGAGACTCCGGAGGCAGCCCAAATACCCCCAGAAGAGCACCCCAAGGAGAAAGAAGCTTGACCACTGTGTTTCTTGACCATTAAGTTTCTCCTGACCACTGAGTCAGCTATGAAGAAGATAGAAGATAATACACTTGTGTTCATTGTGGATGTCAAGGCCAACAAGCACCAAATTAAACAAGCTATAAAGGAGCTCTATGACATTGATGTGGCTAAGGTCAACACTTTGATTAGGCCTGATGGAGAGAAGAAGGCATATGTTCAACTTGCTCCTGATTATGATGCTTTGTATGTTGCCAACAAAATGGGATCATCTAAACGGAGTCCAACGGGCTAATTCTAAATAGAAATTTTTCTCACACACAAAAAAAGTTACTTCATCCATTTGGTGGAATACTATGCAGCTATTAAGAACAATGTAATAGAATACTTAATGATGTGATTTAAGATATACCAAGTGGGTAAAGAAAAACTGATTTAACTCTGAAAAGTATGATAAACAATTCTATTAAATAGAATATAAGTATCTGGACTTGAGAAAAAAATCTGGAAAACATAGCTAAGTGGATAAAGAATTGCACAACCAACTCAACTTTGAATTCAGCATCTGGTCTATGGAAGAAAGATAAACAATCTCCTCCTGTATGATTTACAACCTCTATAAACCTAATGGAGGGTCAGCTATGAGTTGGTTCTGACTCAGTGGCAATTACTTAGAGATTTTTTTTTAAATGCCAACAGTGATTTATTACTGAATATTTATATGTTAGGGACCACTTGTAGCCTAGGGGTAAGAACCAATTCCGAAGAAAATGCATACAATTCAAGTCCACCAACTACTCTGTAGAAGGGTAGGCCATCTCCTCCCATACAGTTTACTGCCTCTGAAAACCTGCTGGAGGGTCGGCTATGGGTTGGTCCCAGTTTGACAACACATAACATTAATATGTTAGTTGGTATTTTTCTTTTCCTTTTGAGTGATGGTTGTTCTTTGTGCTTTCCTGTATTTTCCTAATTTATGGTAATTATGTGTATATTATTCAGAGAAAAAAATGTAAAACACATTGTATTGTTTTTAAAACAGATGGCCTCTTCTGAACAGAAATCTCTCCTGTCTTATTTTATAATACAGCTTTTTTTAAATTTTTTATTTATTTTTTTTATAATACAGCTTTTTATCATGGAAATTCTTCAACACAAACTTTGCTTGTTTTTCCTTTCCTAAAAATAAATTTTTTTTCATGCATCATGGAAAAATCTAGTAAAAACTGGTTATCTTATTTCATTTTTATTTTAGGTAATGAACCAGAAAAAAAGTCACCAAATAAAGGAAAACCTGGCAAAAAGACAGAAGCAAAACCTGCCAAGGTAGAGTGTACACATCTGTTTATTTCTTGCATTTTGCAAATCTCATTGCTACTTTTATAAAGCTGTAGTTAAACATATAATACCACTTTAAGAGCTTAACCTATATGGTGGTAAAAACTCTTGAATCATGAGGAAGCGTCAGGATAATTTACTATTGTTACATTTCAGATCATCTTCAGAGCTGAGGGAGATGAAGCACAGGTAGAGGATTTTCTGGAACCCCTGATGCCTGGTCATCTTTGAGCTTGTAGCTTTCTAAGTTTTGATTTTCTATTTGAGGGCCTACACGGGGTTTGACTCTAATAATGTACATTGCCTTTAGGGTGATTACACTCAGTCCTGTCCACAGGTGTATGTTCTCATCCCCATACGCAAGATAAGATCATGTGAACATAAACTATTAAGATACTCAAATAGAACAGAAGAAGAGCAAGCTTGTTTTGTTTGGGGTTGTTTTTTTTTTCTCATTCTATCCTCTTTCCTTGCATTTGGGTAAGTGGAGAAAAAGTAAATTGAAATTACTGTGATGGACCCCTTAATGGTCAATGTCCATCTCTATAAATGCCTTCAGTAATAAATGGTTTCTCTAATTTTATTACTGTTAAGTACAAGTATGGGCCAACCATTTGCCATTGAGTCAGCTCTGACGTATCAGTAAGGGTTGTCTTTCTTGGCTGATTTTTTTTTTTTAATGTTCCTCAAGGGGCATATATTGCCAAGCCTTTCTTTCAGGACACACCCAGTGAGACTTGAATCACTGATCTTTCAGTTAGCAGCTGAGTTAACTATTTGTGCCACCCAGAGAAGTAGAAGTAGATCAAAGTGGTGCTTTAACTTTTTGAGCATTTCTAGAAATCACTTTGCCAGTGTCAGAGACAGGCACAGGACAGAGCAGAGTTTAGGGCTGTTGTACATAGGGTCGCTATGAGTCGCAAGCAACTCAATGGCACTTAACAACAACAACAAACATATGATAGCTAAGGAGCTCATGTAGCCTAGTGGTAGGAGCTGCACTGACAATCCAGAGGCACAAAGTTCGAATCCACCACCTGCTCTGTGGAGGAAGAAAGGCTGTCTCCTCCTGTCCAATTTACTGCCTCTGAAAACTGACTGAAGGGTCAGCTATGAATCAGTTCCAACTTGATAAGCACACAACAATAATACGATAGGTAGCAAAGTAGAGAAAAGTGTTATATTAAATGTGCCATTACAGAATCTTCAGAGTGTACTTATAATATAACTTAATGGCATGTTCTGTGCATGTAACTCTGTGTGTGTGGGGAGTTTGGCTTATCTTGTTGAATCTCACTTCCTGAAAAGCCTTGGTGTCTGTTTCTGTGGGTTATTGAAATAGACTTGCTAACTTTTTACAAAGATTTTATTTGCAAAATCTCTGTAAATGTTCAGTAAAATTAATAAAAAAAATAAAAAGATGAAAAAGGATTTTATTTGAGGAACATTTTTTAAAAGAATAAAAAAAAGAGAAAAAGCTTTGAAATATCTGTTGCCTTTATTACCTTTTCCCTCAACCTTATACCTATTTCTTTCCCTCTTCTACTTTGTACCATGCAAAGCAAAAGTCTATCTCCTATATACTTTGTACCTATTGGAATAAAATAATAATTTTTTTTTGCACTTTTGTAGGAAAATTTAATAAATAAGAAACACAGAAGCTCTTTAGGGTAAAATGAGATAATGGATACAACTTAAAAGACAAATTTATTACAATCTTCTGGTTGTAACTATTGTCTTTTTCATTAATGTATTCTAGAATAAGAACTATCTTGCACTCATAAAGTCTTTCATTTGAACATTTTGCAGCCTTTACTAGAACTCTGAGTTTCTGTTAATTCCATTTAGATATTTTTCTCATCATATAACAGTGTCGTTACTATCAGTAACTTCGTAGAGATCTTTTGTATTCTCTTGTGTTGCATTTATTGTTGTACAACAGCCCTAAACCCTGCTCTATCCCTTTCCAATCTTATTGTCTCTGACATATCTATTCCCATTACCCCAGTGACAGAATCAATCCATCTCATAGAGGGTCTTCCTCTCCTGCACTGTCCCTTCACCCTCCCAAGCATGACGTCCTTCTCCAAGGACTGATCCTTGACCTTAAAACAGGTCCAAAGTATGTCAGACGGAAGCTCTGTCTGACATAGTGTACATGTTAAGATATTTAATTCAAAATAGATATTCTTCTCCTTTTAAAATACCTTTCTCCTTTAAAGAGTTTTCATGTCTCCACACACACACAAAAATATAAGCCATAGAATATACTAATTTTTGTTTTAAGAACAAAATTTTAAATAAATTTTTCTTGTATAATGGTTGCTTATAAAGTTTGTAAACATTGTTTTTCACACTGAATTTTTTTTTCCATTTCCTTTACCAACCTCTTCCTCCTCACTTCCCATCTTCACCCCTGTCCCTCCCTTCCCCTCCCTGGATTCTCATACCCATTTTACAAGTTATCTTTTTATTTCTACAATGATGATCTTATACAGTATTTGTCTTTATGGGACTGTTAACTCTTTCTTTCTTTTAAGCAACCTAATTGCTATCTAATCTGAGTATTGTATGGCCACATACTGGCCAAAGGAAATCTGTTAACTCCTTATCTGTAAAACAATTTTTATATTGCCTGTTACTTTTAAAACTGTAGTAGATTTGCATTCATTTGTTATTAATAATCAGGAATTTAGAATCCTGTAAAAAATATTTTTAAATTCTAAGTAGCAAATTGACTTGAAAAATAAAATACATTTAATATTTTGTGTGATTAATCATATTCTGTCATACTCAGAAGTGAACTGACCAATAGCTGACCCTCCAGTGGGTTGTCAGAGTCAGTTAATCACACAGGAGGAGCTTGCCTGTCCTTCTCCCGCAGAACTGCTTTTGGATTTGAACTGCATGCCTTTGTGATTACAGCACAACTCCTTGCCAGTAGGCCACCAGAGCTTCCATCATACTGAGAGATATTTTTGTATGTTAAAAAGGAATTTAGTCTTTGACATAGTAATCATTTAATAAAAATTGGATTTCTAGTTCTGAAGCTGAAACCGGATTACAACCGAGTTTGCTTCCTGACCCTAACAATTAAAACTCAGGGATACTGTTCTTTGAGAATCCAAAAATATATTTTGGCAAACACTGAGCAAAGAATTAGGAGGCAAATAGCCCTCAAATCTGACTCCCCCAAATGGCCAGGGTATAACATAGTTATGGATTATTAAAAGACCAAGTTGCCATGGTGGCAATGTGTTTGTCTCTCTTAGTTGTTCAGTGGGGAGCTCTGGTGGCCTAGTGGTAAGAAACTGCACTGCAGTTCAAATCCATCAGCTACTCCACAGAAGAAGGATTATTGGGAGAAAGATAGACATTCTCCTTTAAAGACTGATAGCCTCAGGAACCTGATGGTAGAGTGGGTATATGTAGAAATCATATGTCCCATACTTTCCTTTGAAGGGATTTTCATGGGAGATATGTCACAAAGTATGCTCTAGGACAAGTTACCTTTTACTCATGCTACAGTAGTTCGAGACTAGTTCCAGCAAGTTTTAAAATAGATTCTCACTGTTGACTGTTAAGGCCTGAAAAGAACTAGGAGGAGCTTACGTAATGCCTAAATTATTTTATTGATAAATTTCCATTTTTGATAGCTAATCTTCTGACTCCATCTATTCTATTTTCTTACTTTAGGGCCTTTCTTTTAAAGTTGATAATGAAGAAAACACATTGGGTTCACAAACCAGTGCAACAAATGAATTGAATTCAGATGGAACTTTATCAAAAGAGGAACATTTAAGCAAGGCAAATATTGCAAAAATGAAAGGGAAGAATTCCTTTGCACCTAAAAATTTTCTGTTTCAGCCACTGGATGGTCTGAAAACCTATAAAGCAACATCTATGATTCCCAGAAGAGCCAATGCTTTGACATCTGATCACACCTGGATTCCTTTAAAAGCAGAAGTGTAAGAATATAATGCTAATAATGAATTCCTTAAGAAGTCAGATAACTGTTGTCTATCTTTGATTTGGTTGGCCTGTGCTACTAAAAATTATTTAATAAGTTATGTTGATTATAAAGAATTACTTTTTAATTCAAAAGGCTATCTTAGTGTACTTGACAGTTTTGAAATATCCTATGCTTCAATTATCATTGATGCATATATTTTCAGCACTTGTTTTGGGAGGACTGGAGGAGAAGGCTGAACATCACTTTAGTAGAACTACCTCTAAAGACAGATGACTAACTTGCAAAATGGAAAACAGTATTCAACTGGATCTGTAAAAGAAAACCTGTATAATTGCAAAAGTTGCCAGGTAGCACATATACTATAAATTGCTCAGCAGAACAAAATAAGTTTTTTTATATTCCGTGAAAAGAGTTTCACAATATATGAACCATATATTGACTGGTAAAGATGGATATACTCACTCTAAGAATTTAAATCATTCCCTTTCTAGCATAAACTTGTTTAAAAAAAAATTCAAAATCCCTTAATTTGATACAT